CAACAGATATTAATGTCAATTAATCACTGCACACACTTGACCTTTTAAGTACTTTCTCATCAATTCAAGAAAATTACTAGGTATTATTCTTCTGCTCCATCCTTTAAATAATGGGATTTAATTTCTTTTCCTAAAGTCTTTCCAAGCTGGATCTTTGGGGAATAAAAGAAAAACTCTACCAGTGAACTTGGCTCTGAATCCTCTGAACTCAAAATTGTCCCACACTTGGGTCACTCAAAGTCAGCTCATTTTCTTGATAGCTTTCATGAAAAGTTGAGTGAGAAGAAAAACACCAGAGCAGAGACCTAAGAATCATCTTGTCTCCCCATAGGGGTGCCTCCCCAACTGCTATTCTCATTCATGCCTCATTGCATATAAATTGATATTCTGACTCCTTGCCTTTATATATATATATATATATATATATCTCATGAAGACAAGGCTTTTCTGTTGCAGAATTTGGACTTCACATTGAGCACCCCAGGATGAGAGTCATTTGGTGGACAGTGGGAGTCTGCTCTAGATAGACCAGGTTCTAAGTCTCTGACACTTCCAGCCTTTCATTTTACCAGTTAGGTGCTTCATGGATAATGTCTGAGGGCTCCGCGGGTTGACAGGAAACTCCAAATGCACAGTGGAGCCTGGGCATTCACAATTCTATCGGGCACATCTTGGACAAGTAGGGGCCTGCGCTGAAGCCCTCTGGAGAGCTCTCCTCTTTCCACTGATTTGTACTATGCATTCTGTTGGCAACTGACAACACCATGGTTTCACTACCTCTAGTGGCTGCTTATCGGGTAAAGTTTACTGGGCAGCCACTTATAATGTGTGTATTACACCAGAACCAAGAGCCTCTGTCTGTGCAGAATCTGGGAGTTTAGAATTTTGTCTTGCAATTTATTATGCCTGTCTACTGCCAGCCCATAGTTTAGGGAGAAAGACTAAAAGAAACCCTCTTCAGACTAGGACCTGGCGCCAACACCATCATTTCTTCTCTTTCAGGATTTGTTTGAACCTAGACCGGTTCTCCACAGTCAATTTACACCCCTTATCTGATCATTCAGTCCAGACAGACCATTGAATTGACCGAGTCTTCGCGAGTCCATGACAATGATGGCAAAGCCCAAACACAGATCAAAGCTTTCCAAGAGCAGGGGGTTGGGGTCATGGGTATATATGGTCCAAGCTCTTTTGGCCCCAGAGATGTGTCCGGGATGTGGGGACATTAAGGCCACCTTTCGAAAAATAGGAGTAGCCACCTTTTGTGCAAAACAAAATAAAACACCCTTCATCGCCAGCTTGAACGATTTCCTGTGCAAAACCCAATCCCCCGGGCGGCGGATCAGACTAACTCTAGCAAAAGGGCATTGCATGGTCAGGTGCAGACGCGCGCAGTGGTTAGCACCAGGGGGCTCTCCACTTGGTCTGAAACGGAAAGGGAGGGGAGAGCACACGTCAATAATCCCGGTGTCGATCCCCTCCCCTTCCAGAAACAATCCAACCCAAGCCGCAGAAGCTGCAACAAGGATGGGTCGAATCCCCTAAGAGTGGTCTGGAAAGCTGATTGCCGCTGCTGCGCAGATGATTGCCAGAGGGGCAGAGGGGCGATCGCCTCCCCGCTCCCCCTCCCCCGCCCACCTTTAGCTCTGCAGGTCCGTTCCCCTCCCCGCCGGGCGCTGGGGTCCTGGTGGGAACGGCTGCTGCGGTGCGGTCGGCCCGAGGCGAAGGGTGGGGGGTGGGGGGTGGGCACCATTTAATCACAGCTCGCCCTGCCTCTATTAACTTGTGTTGATATTAAAAAGAAATCAATCAGTGAAAATGAAGCCTTGGCCGTGAATAGTTCTTTTCCTCACATAGAAAAGCACAGAGCGAGGCAGCGAGAGAAGGGAGGAAGGGACTCGCTGGCGATTGCAGCAGCTTCTCACAGGACGAGAATCGCAGCCGCCACAGAACTTTCCGGCATTGGGCAGCAGTGAGGAAATGCAGCAAGCTTCTCCCGGGGGTGTCCTGAGTCAGGAGGGGGAGGAGGAAGAGGCGGCCAACTTCGCCCAGGCTAGAGCCTTGGTTTTGCTTTCTCTGGGAATATTTTTGCCTAACAGAATGTTTATGGATTGCTCGGCTGTTTCTGCTGCGTAGCCCAAACAAATCGATGTGGCCTTAGAGACCGCGCTGGGGGGTGAGGGGTGGGGGAGGTCGGGGCGAGGGGCTCGTCCTCACCACGTGGATACCAGCGTGCTGTCTTCACCTGTTTGGGCGCACTGGGGTTCCGCGCACAGTGCTCCAAGAGGAGGTGCAAGTTACGCGCATTCCCGCGGCTCAAGCTTGAATCCTTACCGCCTCCGCTCTCCATTCGGAAATCCTACCCCAGCTTCCCGCCACCCAGCTTGGCCTGCGCCTGGTTCCTGGCCCAGCCAGCCCCGGGGTACCGCAGTGCTGGCTCTCCAGGCGCGGCGGAGGACATGTGGTACAGAGCGCAGCTAGGGGGCGGGTGGGGACGCGCCGGGCCGGGTGAGCAGCCCCAAGTGCCCGGGCCTGAGTGTAGGAAGGCAGGCGGCGGCGCAGAGAACTGGCGTGTAGCAAGGCGAGGAGATTGGAACCTGGTGCGCGGTGACCGCGCTGCCTCCCCGCCACGGGCCAACCTCCGGGACCGCGCCGCGCGGCCACTGGGTTATTTGCTCAGTCGCTTTCCAGAGCGCACCTTCCACCTTTCCTTCCCGGAATCGGGTTCTGCGGGTGCTGCGCTGGGGCCCCCCTTCCGGCCAGCGCACATGGGGTGAGTCAGAGGTCTAGATCAGCCTCGCCCTTTGCCACCCGCTGCCAGCTCCCCAGCTACTCGGGCTGAAAACCCTAAGGGCTTCTGGCTTGCGATTGCCTGTGTGTGTGTGTAGGGGGGGGCAGGCAGGCGGGCGTAGAGAATATTTTTCCCGGGCGGGTCCCAGCACCCCCAGCTCGACTTGCCCCGCGTCTCTGGGTTTTTCTGCAAGTGACGCAGCGCGGTCCGGGGTTGGGATGGGAGGGGGTTCTGCAGCGAGCACGCGAGACAGGTGGCAGAGAGGGAGTGGGGTCCGAACGAGTATCACACACACGAACACACGCTCCATGCAGCAATCGGGGACAGATGTGCGAACATCTGGGTTGGAGATACCGCCTGAGTCTCCACGACCGCTCCCTCTCATGAAACCTTAAGTTGTGTGTGTATGTGTGTGCGTTGCAGTGTGTGTGCCAGTGTGCGCGCTCTCAAATGTTCGGGCCTACCTACCAGAGTCCATTCCTGAATACATAATGTACCATCAGCAGCTTCACTGCTTGCATACACACATACACACACACAGCGAATCATACAAACATACATAATTTATACAACATCCTGGACTATGGGAGGTAATTCAATTTCTCTTCAAGCTGGGAATTTAGAATTAAGGCAAAAGAGAATGGGAAACAGGAATCTCCCCCAAGTGGGACTTGCACCCATCCATTTGATACGTTATGGCAGAGAAGAAGCAACTGAGTTGGGTGGCTACCACATTCTAGAATCTTCTTCCTTCTAAAATACAAACCTAAGCTAAAAGTGGAGTGTGTGAGTGTGTTGAGGGACAAGACCTGTCCTTGCAGGTTTAAATCTTCCCTTTAGTTAAACCAAGCTCTCACAGGATCCACTAGAGGATGTGGTGGATGTCCAGGCCACTACCTGGGATGAGCCCTGCAAATGTGGCCACCCTTCAACAGTGTTGGGGACAAGGACACTTCAGGAAACTTTACCCCCTCCTCTACCCTAATCACTTTTTAAAAGGAGTCCGAGTAGTGTAGTGGATTACAAACTAGGCTGCTAACTGCAAGGTCAGTAGTTCGAATCTACCAGTCCTGCCAGAGAAATATGAGACTTTCTGCTACTGTAAAGATTTATATAGCGTTGGAAACGCTTGTACAGGTCACTAGGAACCGAATCCGTGGTACACAGCCACCACCACCACCAATCACCTGTAGCAACTGCTAAGAGTTTTGTCAAATTCCAGACACTTCTCAGAGAGGAGATAGGCCCACCCTGGACTGTTGTCCCATGAAGAAAAGAAAATCCTCACTGGAGTTCCTGAAGCCATAGATCCCTTTTCAGGGAGTGTGTCCCTTACCACTTCCCACAAACGCTGGCCCCAGACTGTTCTGGGCCTGGACACTTATCTTGGAAGTCTGTCCACACACCCTTTTTGGCAGTGGCTAAGAACAAATTCCACTCAAAAGTTTCTAACCAGTTTTCTCACAAGAGTGAGAGACCTAAGAGGGCCAAGCAATTTGCTTTAATAATTTTTTTTAAAAGAACACATGATTTCCCAGAAAACACATGGATGCAGGGAAAGAGAACTCCCGACTACTACAACTACCTTAGTTGCCAGAACAGCCCAGCCCCATGCTTCTGTCTAAGCCACAAACCAACTCTCTTCATTCTCCAAGCCCTATGATTTTCTGAGTCCTATCCACCCATTCTCTAAAGAATCTACAGCATTGAAAACCCAAGCCCAAGTCTTGTCTTCCCAAGCCCTTCAGTTAACATTGCTCAATGTAGCTAAGTGGAGGGAATGCAAATGATTTATTTTTCGCTGGCTAGGTTGAGGAAACTCAAGGGAGATGTGTTCTGCTTCAAGACAAGGGGAAAAAAATCCCCAAAAAACTGTAATGCAAAGGCTTTGTAGTATTTTTAAACCTTTGATTCAGTCCATATGTGACATCTGAACACCGCCAAATTTGTCTGTTTCAAAACACACACGCTGCACACACACACACATACACTCCTAGCAAGAGAGCAAAGTTGGGTTTTGACTGTCTAGGCGGTGCAGGGAGTGCCAGCAAGAATCCTTCTTTAAATTAAAATTTTAAATATTGAGTATTGAGGAGTCGGCTTCAGTGCGGTGTCGCGTCGTTCCCTGCATTAGCAGCCGCGTTTAAAGGAAAAGCATGTTGAATTGAATATAAGAAAGAAAAAAAAAAAAAAACTTTCAGGGGCTTACCTGGTTGGCCTCTCACTTCATGTCTTGAAAAGTAGAGCGCTAAGAAAACCCAGGTGAGAGGAAACATATCCATTTTCGAGGAGGCTTTCTCCAGAGCTGGATTTGTAGGCTTCTTGTATAATTAAAAGTCTGTGTGGCGGGTTTCCCCCACCCCCCCCACCCCTCTTTCTTATTTTCTTCCTCAAAACGTCTTCTGCAAATGGTCAGGGTTTCCCTCCTGGGTCCTGACGGCTCGTCTTCACCTTTATTCTTGCTGGAATTCCCACCTTGCCTGGAGGAGGGTAGCTCCTGAAATCAGCAAAGAGGGAGCAAGAGGAAGAGGGGACGGGTTTCCTCTCTTAAGAACAAAACGCATCTATGTTCTTTTCAGTTCCTCAAAGTGTCATTTCCTTTATTCTACAATATCACGAATATTTCCCAAAAGCCAAGCGTAAAAATAATAACAAAAAGAGAAGCCAAGACTTGCCGTGGGCATCGCACGGCCCCAGGCAGCCGTGTGATCTCAGAGGCGTAAACTGACACACATCCCTGGGCACTCGGGACGGACACGCGGGCGGAGACACTGATGACCGACCGACGGTCCGAGTGGGAGGCGGCCGTGCAGCTCTTTGCCGGGTTCCCCTAGCGGGAGCCTTTTCCACCAGCTACACAGGCTCGGTCAGCCTCACGAGGGAAGCCTGAGGAAGGAAGCTGCTGCTGTTGGCTGCGGAGGCTGCTGCTGCCGGTGCGGCGGAGCGTCTAGGATCGTTTGGAGTGAGCGAGCACCTCTCCGAGTTCGCCGGCGCCCGCCCTCACCTCCAGCTTCGCCGAGTGTCTGCGCGGCTGAGGACGTGCTAGGGGCGGGCTGCGGGCTGCTGCCTTGCTCGCCTTCTCTGCCTCCCCTCGAGCTCCCCCCTGCCTTTTCAGGCCGTGCAGCATGTGGATGTCAGAGCCGCGGCAGAGCTATCCGATTACGCGCCGGCTCAGGGCCCGCCCCTTCTGTGTTCCTGATTAAAGAGGCAGCCGCGGAGACGCGCAGCGCAGAAGTGAGCGCGGCGGGACCCAGCTCGGGCGGGGCGGCGGCGGCGGTGGCTTCTCTGACCGCCTCCAGATCAAAGTTAAGGCAGCTCCCACCCAGACGCCCCTCTCCCTGCCCACACCCCCCGCCCGTCCGCCTGGCGCACCTCCGCGCTAGGCTGCGCTGCCGTTGCGTAACGCCCTAGGGAAGGAGCATCCCCGGCACCCGCACCCAGGGCACGCTCTCCACGGTTTCTTTACTCTCGCCTCGAAGGAGGCTCCGCGGGAAACGGGGGAAATCCTTGTTTCCCCTAAATCCCGTGACTCCAATGCCACCCGCGCTGAGTCCAACACAATGCCACGCGCCATGGCGTTGCAAGAGGCGCAGAGTGGTGTACGGTGTTTGGGGGTAGGAGATAGGCGGCAGCTCAGCTATGCGTTCTCACAGGCAACAGTGTGTGGCGGCGACACACACCGTCAGCCCTGGCTGAATAAAACCCCAAACACTCCTTGCGTTCACTACTCAGATCCTTTGTTGTGTCCCAAACATGCTCCTCGCTCAACTGCTGAAGATGTAGCTGTCACTGCTCCCCTTAATTTACAGCGATCAGAAGAGCAGCAAAGACTTTCTTCAGGATAGAATATTTTTACCGACCCCCACCCCAAGTACAGGTACACGAAGGCATCTCGAAATGTTACCGTCGCCACTCATTCACATTTCCCCCGTGGAAATGTGGTCACAACCAGAGAGAAAGAAAACAGCATTGTGCCAACTATTTTTAAATGGAGGCGTGAAAATGTTAGAGGGAGCTGCAAGCTAACAGTTGGGGAAACACTTGTATCTTTTGAGGATGGCTTTGTGGATTCCAAACTGTTGCCTCACGAAGCACCTATTGTTACATTATCATAAAGACTCTAAGAGGAACCGTGTAAATAACATCCTCCATATAGCTTTTCTTCCACTCCACAGATTCAAGAAAAATAAAGTTTCCATGACAAAAAACACATATCTGCCGCTCTGCTCTCCTTTTTTCCTTTGCTTGTACTTGTGGACTCTTCTGGGTGGTTTTCCTCCTTATCTGGAGTTGCCATTAGCTTTGTTTATCACTTTTAGTGTTTGAAAAATCTGTAACTCCCACTTAACTGTTATTTACACTGAGATAACTAAAACAAAATTGAATCAGAAGTGATTTGCAAATAGTTGAGCCAAGCCATAGAAGGATTTTAAAGTGCCATGCAAATCCACAGGCTGTATATCACACTGTTAATCTTAGATGCCTAGTTTGAAAGGGTGCATAACAGAGGCCTGGGGAGCTCTGCCTGGGAATTTATCTTCTGGCGGGTCTAAAGGCTACCTTTCATTTTCCTCTTCCTTTCTTTTTTCTCTCCTTTTCTCCCTCCCTCTCGTCTTTCTTCTTCTTCTTCTTCTTTTTTTTTTTTTTTGATAAGGCTCGATAGCATATCCACATTATTAAAAATCGCCTAATTTACATTTCTCCTGTCTAAAGCTCAATTGTAAAAGACCTGCACCCCTCCGTGTTTAATGAGGTAAAGAGGCAATCTGTATTTTGAATCTTTAGTAGAGGTCCAAGCTTGTCTCATTGCCAAGATGTTAATCTAAGAACAAATGACACTATGCCGCAGAGACCAGGTCTGAATGAAGAGGTCCATTTAGTATCAACTTTTTGCACCACCATGGGTACCAAACCATTCTAGCAAGTGCCCAATGTGGGTGGAGCCGTCCTGTTTGTATAGTGAAGGGCGGGGGTGGGGGTGGGGTGGAGAGAGGAAAGGAAAGGTAAACTAAGGTCATTAGGGAACCCCAGAAATCACAGTTTTGGATTTTTAGGGTTTGGGGTCTCAGGGTTGAGAACCCCCAATCAGGATACCGATCTGATAGGGATACTTGGTCTGGTAGGGAGAAGGATCCGTCTCAGTTTTCTGTTCCTGAATCTGATTCCCAGCATTATGGATTTAACTTCTTCAGAGGTGTCCTAAATGGGGAGCTAGATTACTTGCTGCAAATCCTCGGTAAAACTGAGGCAAGATTTCTTAGCGGTGCACTTCAGGGGAGGTCTGACTTCCTGCCAGAGGGTAGGGAATGAGTCTATAGTTCCCAGTACTGGGTCTCAAAGCTGCTCAGTGCCAGAGCATTTTTAATCCTCTAGGGGGCAGCACTGAATAAATAATGGTAGCACTATTTAAGGTAACGCTTCTGCGGGTGTTTTCACTTCTTGGAGCTTCAAGTGCTTGTCAAACCAGGGAAAATTCAGAGTGAGACCAGATCTCTCCCAAGTCACTCTCAACAAGACCCTACTGGCCCAGGGACGGCTTAGAGTTGCTTTAACCCAGGACTTCCAAGGACTCATGGGAGCTCAATACAAATCCCACATGTGCTCTATGGAAAATGAACCTTCAGGGAAATTCTCCAGACTGGGACGGACTTGGATCTGCCAGCCATGCTTTTGTCTAGACTGGAATTTCAAAAGTTTGGCTACAATTGGTTCTGTTTCAACTAGAGGTGCAGTGATAAAGAGCCAGACCCTGTAACTTCCAGTATTTTGTGAGTTCTCATCCAGGATCTTAGGAAGCCTGGCTACTGAAAGACCAGTAGCTTGTTCAGAAACAACAGACTGCATACCAGAAACACTGATCAGGCTATAAAACAGCTAACAAATGAGGTTGAGCTTCTGGGCAACATTATTACTCACCTAGGATGTTTTACATCACTACCCTTAATTGTGAAAGAATCAGATAATCCCATCCTACATTCCATTCCTTTGACAGGAACGGATGTGGGGAACCTAAAAACCAGATTTGTAAATGATGCTAAGAGAAAGCTGTTACCTAGCCACACCCCAGTGGTTACCTTTCCCAGTGGAAAATTGGGTGTTCCCAACTGAAGTACATTAGACACACCTAGGGAAAGTTAAAAATTCAGCTCTATGATCCTGAAGATTGGATTCCTTAGATTTGGGGTGGTCTGGGAATCTAGATTTTAACACACATTTTAGGTGACTCTGATACAAATACTTAGCAGGCAAGCAAGTGTGAACTTCTGCCCTGATGTGTTATATTTTGTTGTTGTTATATGCCGTGGTTGTATACTCGCCTGTTGAAGGACACCTGGAAAAGTATTCCCTCACTGTTTTACAGCTAGGGGCAGATATCGTAAGACAACGTCTCTTGAGTTGACAGAATGGTGGGTTTTCCAGATTCACCTGTGACAACAGCATCAAGAAGCCTGACCTCTGGGAGGGTGGCAGCTGTGGGTGTGTGTTGCAGGAACATGTCCCAAGCTCTAATGATCGATTTTATAGAACTGGGTTCAGTCCTTTACCATCAATCCACACAACCACTGGCTATTACTAAAGGTTTGTTTCAGGTATGGTTTTCCATCTGTGTTCATCATATTGTACTTATTAAATGCTCATGGATGCGTGACCATGCAGGACGTGTGCAAACAACTAAGACATTTGGGTCTTGCCTCCTGGGAACGCATGATCAGAAAACTCCACAAGTCTCATGCTCCCGCATAAGCTCATGGATGCCAGATGTCACCTAGTGATTCTCCTTATCTGAGCCCTAACATCCACAAGCTCTCACCCTGAAAGGGGGCTATATGAGGCATAATAGCATTTTAATCTGTAATTTACTACACTGGCCTAGTTAATGTTTAGCTGCATCTGTCTCAGAGGCAAAGCTTCAGCTAAATGTAATGGGGCCTCATTTTCTAGTCTCTCTTTCATTTGTAGCTGAATTCCAGGTCATAATTGTCCCCCCTCTCTCTCACCTCTACCAGTCACACTTTAAGCATTCAACATCTTTTTTTTCTTCTTCTTCAACATACTTAAATACTACCTAACATGTTACTGTTGAGTTGAATCTGACTCCGTTGACCCTACAAGGCAGAGTAGAGACATCCACAGGGTTTCGGACGGAGGCTGTAATATTTACAGAGGAGTACTGGATCACAATGTCTGTTTGAACCACAAGGTTGACAGTTCAAAATCACCAGCTGCTCCTTTGAAACCATGTGGTGGTGGTGGTGGTTATGTGTTCTGGAGTTGGTTCCTATTCATAGTAACCCTGTATAGGGTTTCTGAGGCTGTAAAACTTTACAGGAGCAAAAAGCATCATCTTTCTCCTGCAGAACCACTGGTAGTTTCAAACTGCTGATCTTGAGATTAGCAGCCTGACCTGTAACCACTTCACTACCAGAGCTTCTTTGGAAACACCATACAGGGTATGTGTGAGCCGGAATTGACTCGATGGCACTTAACAATAACACCAGTCTTTACATAAGCAACTGCCATATATTTTCTCTTGAAAATTAGGTAGGTTCGAACCATTGACCATTTGGTTAACAGCCAAGTGCTTTACCACTGCACCACCAGGGTTCCTCAAATACTGCCTAGTAATCTCTATTTGATTATTTCTATTGGTGAGTTCCTAAAACCCTTAAAGATTTCCATAAAATATTGAAACCTCTTTACTTTGAATGTAAATGAGTAAAAGTCTCATCACTTTCTTAGACACAGGCACTAGGTCTCATAGGAAGTAACCTTGTGTATGAAAAAAAAAAATTAAAGAAGCTAAATATGCAAAATCTATTCAAACATCTCTGGAATCTTTGGTTTTCAAGTCAATTCCAATTCATGGCAATTCCATATATGTCAGAGTAGAACTGTGTTCCATAGGATTTTCAATGACTGCTTTTTAGGAAGTAAATCACTATGCTTCTAATCTTTCTGTTAGCAGCCAAGCACATGAACTGGACCACCCAGAGATTCGGACATTTGGCAGAGGACACTAAAGAAGTTGTGTTTCTTCCTCTACTTTACTTGGCTATGCTAATTCTCATATACTTGGGGCATTA